AATTAATTCCATTAATTCAATTAATTCCATTAATTCATTTAATTCAATTAATTCCAAAAGGGGGGGGTGAATTAATTGAATTTATTCAATTAATTCAATTAATTCAACCTCCCCAAGTGTAAATAAATGAATTAATTGAATTAATTGAATTAAATTCTGTCTTGGCAACCCTACAGAACCTAAAATAGGGTCTATTTGGAAGTTGTCTCTTGTAAATAAGTATACGTTTTGGGGCCTGATTTCCTCTTCAAAACACGAGTCTCAGCTTCCAAATAGACCCTATTTAAGCTGCACACGGGGGGGGGGGGGGGGGGGGGTAGGTGGGGGTAGGGGGGGGTAGGGGGGGGGTATAGGGGGGTAGGGGGGGGCGGGGGGTGGGTGGGGGTAGGGGGGGGTAGGGGGGGGGTAGGGGGGGGGGAGGGGGGGGTTATGGGGGGGGTGGGGGGGGGGTAGGGGGGGGTGGGTGGGGGGTAGGGGGGGGGTAGGGGGGGGGTAGGGGGGGGGTAGGGGGGGGGTAGGGGGGGTAGGGGGGGGGGGGTGAGGGGGGTTTTAGGGTTTAGGGTTTAGGGTTTAGGGTTTAGGGTTTAGGGTTTAGGGTTTAGGGTTTAGGGTTTAGGGTTTAGGGTTTAGGGTTTAGGGTTTAGGGTTTAGGGTTTAGGGTTTAGGGTTTAGGGTTTGGGGTTTGGGGTTTGGGTTTTAGGGTTTAAGGGTTTAAGGGTTCAAGGGTTTAGGGTTTAGGGTTTTAGGGTTTAGGGTTTAGGGTTTAGGGGGTTACGGGGGTTTCGGGGGTTGAGGGTTTTTGGGGCTTAGGGTCTTAGGGTTTTGGGGCTTTCAGGGTTTTAGGGTTTTATGGGGTTCGTGGTATTCTGGTTGTAGGGGTCAGGGCTTTCGGCTGTTCAGGTGTTTGCAGCGTCTGTTGGGAAGGAGGTTAGGGTTTTGGGAGCTTCTGAGGGTCTAGAGATTTTAGGTTCAGGTTTTGCTGAGGTGCTCTACGGTTTTCAGGAGCTTACCACAATTTCCCCAAGCCTTTGGGTATCGACTGCAGGGCCTTCTTGGCTTCGAGATGTTTGGGAAGAGGGTTTAGGTTTAGGGTTTAGGGACAAACCCTTTAGGCCCTAAACCCTCAACCCACACCCCCCCCCCCCTAACCGCCCCTCCAACCCCCCTCAACAACGGAAGGCCCCAACCTCAAACACCCGAACCCAGAAAGCTCTCAGGGCCTAAGCCCCAAAGCTTAAACCTTCGTTTGTCTTTTGGCCAGGGCATCACGGTGTTTCAGCGGACCCCCGGGCGCCACGGCTGAAATGGAGTTGAGAATTTAGGGTTTCAAATCAGGGCCTATACCCTAAAACCCTAGAACCCTCAAACCTTAAGCGCCAAAAGCCTAAACCTTAAGCCCTGAATCCCTAAACCTTAAACCTTTAAACTGCCCCAAACTCGGGGCGCAAGACAGAGTGGGGAGATCCCCAGTGTGGCATGCTTCTCAAGGGTTTCTTCCGTGGCAAAGGCCTGCCCTTGTTGTTTCCCCCTACGCCCTAAACCTTGAATCCCAAACCCTAAACCCTAAACCCTAAACCCTAAACCCTAAACCCTAAACCCTAAACCCTCAACCCTCAACCCTAAACCCTAAACCCTAACAGAAAGGATCGTAAGCCCTGGAGTGACGATAGGGTCAGCCCCTATCCTGTGCCAAGGCGCTAACCCCCCCTCAACCATCTACTGCAAGCTTCTACACTCGCCCTAATTCAGCGTTTTGGGAAAAGGGTTCAGATTTTAGGGCTTAGGGTCAGAATTTAGGATTTAGGGTTTAGGGCTTCCTTAAGAACCCTCAATTCAGCCCCCCGCCTCTCTCTGCATCTGAGGACTGCCGAGGAGTTTGGGACCCTTACTCCCGTCTGGAGTGCCTCGGCCGCGCCGGAGCGAAAGGGGGGGGTGGAGATCATGCTTCGGGGTTTCGTTTTTTGGGGTTAGGCCCTTGGGTTTAGGATCATTTAGGGTATGGGGTTTCGGCTTTAGGTGTCTAAATTTGGGAGACCTTATAGGCCTTCTGAGAGGCCTTATAGGCCAGGGTTTATACCGGTTTCAAGGCTTCTTCCGAAACTCCTCGAATCTTTCCAACTTTCCCGGGACCTGAACCCTGAATTAGCGTGCAAGTAAACTCCAACCCAACAGGGCTCAGGGTGTCTTTCAGGTTCAAGATTCAGGATTGGGTACCGAAAGGAACCCTTAGCTTTTGTGCTTTTTTGAAGGGGTAGGATTTAGGGTTCAGTGTGTGTATCAGTGTACGCGTGCGCGAAGAGTGCGCCTTTTCTTTGCCATGTCTCACGCTCGTGTAGCTTAGACACTATTCTCCCTTTTAGGGTTTAGGGTTTTAGCAAGGCGGGCCTTGAAAGGCTGCAGCAGAGGCCGGAGGAGTGGAGGGGGGGAGGGGCCAGAGAGAGACCTGGAGACGCCCTCATGGCGGGGAGACGCAAGATTCACCTAGCGAAAACACAAGAAGCAGGTTTAAATGTTGAGAGGTCCACTTAGTAGCTGAGTGGGTACACTTTACACTTTTTGGGATACTCTAACCCCCGATAGAACTGAAAGTGCACACTTTCTTGGGGCTTATGAACTCAGCAACTAGGTCCACAACACAAAGAGGGTGTTTCAGGAGAGGCCCCAGGAGGGTGCCAGCGGGTCCCAGAAAGCGTCAGGACGGTCGGTCCCAGAAAACTCATAACCAGGCCCCGTTCGACACGCGTTATGGCAGAGCCCTGTCCGAGCAGGTGTATAGGCAGCTCTCGCCAGTTTAATTAGGGTTTAGGGTTTAGGTTTAGGGTGTAGGGTTTGGGGTTTAGGGTTTCACTGGGGGGCAGTATAGACTTATCACCGGCGGTTGCTCACCTTTGTAACCCCCAGAAGCCCGAAACCCCTTTGCCTTGGATTGCTATAGAGGTTGAGCGAGTTCTCCAAATTATCGTCCCTTTTGGGGTCCTTGCTATAAGGCGGCCTTTTGTATTAGGTACTCAGAGCGGGACCCTAGAACTCACCGTTTAGGGTTTAGGATTTAGGGGTTTGGGATTTGGGGTTTAGGGTTTAGGGGTGTTCGGTGTTTCGGTGTAATTAGGTTGGGGCCTGGACTTTTTTCCGGGCTAGCCTGACATTCACATTCTTCAATAACGGAGGGGGGGGGGGGGGGGGTGGAGGGAACCATCAATGATTACACCTCCGTCTTTAAATCGGGGTCTCGGATGCCAACCCTAAAGATCAAAAAGCCCGAAAGCCCAAAAGGGTTAGACTGAGCCCTGAAGCCGTTTCACCTGAGGTCCGCAAAACATCCTCTCAACCCTAAGCCCTCAGCCCTAAGCCCTAAACCCTAAACCCTAACCCCGAAAACCACACAACGTCACGAGGCTGCACTGACTTCCCGAGCCCAACCTACATGTGCCTGGGACTGAACGCCCCCAAGCCCTAAACCCTAAGCCCTAAACCCTAAACCCTAAACCTCAATCCCTAAACCGTGCATAGAACCCTAAAGACCCTACGTCCTCAGACGGAGACTTCGGACCTAGTCACCATGGCACCTCTATGATTTTAGCTGGTTTGGACTGGGATGTATGTAGGGTTTCAGGTTAGGGCTTAGGTTCCACGACCTGAACCCTAAACCCTAAAATGCAGGGTTTAGGGTTCAGGGTGCAGCATGCAGGATGTCCATGACACAGGTGTGGGATTGAGGAATGGCAAAGCCACTATAGGCCGATAGCGGCTTTGCAGTCAAGGTTATTCAGAAAATAATTTAAGTTTAATTGTTTGTTGGGTATTTTTATTTTCATTTTGCTAATTATCTTCTATTTTTATACAGACTTTGAAATCACCCTAATAAACCCTGAACCCCAAGCTCTAAACAGAGGTGTCTCTTGACAAGGTACTCCAGACATTGGTGTGCCTGGCAAGTAGACCTTTAAGCCTTATACCTTACACCACCCAAAGATCCAGACCCTTCACCGCAAACCCTTCTACCGAGGTGTGTCAACCGCGCGCACACCCGAATCTACGCCGTTTCAGAGGCGTGGTGCTCTCCTTTGCGAAGCTCCTTTTGTTGGTTGTTTTCTGTTGGTTGTTGGTTCTTGTCCAGTCACCAATGCACGTTGCCCCACAGTGACTGGAGAGAACGACAGATCCATCTGTCTGCCCAGCGTCGGGTGAGATATCACGTTTCCGTCCCGTTGAGTATTTCTTGTCCCCGCTCCTGATGTGGATCTCTTGGCTCCTACCCCCCACCCCCGGGCCCACCCCCGCCCCCTTTTTTAGGCCCCTCCTGCCGGCGACTCTGACCCTTAAGCAGCTGCCCAGCGAAATTCGGTAGCATATGCAAAAAAGTTTGGTAATAATGATGTTGTTAAATGTGAAGTTGATTCGAATAAAGGAACAATTGCATTTTGCAGGAATGGTAAGTCGCAAGGTACGGCGTTTAAAAACGTGAAAGCAGCTGTGAAACCGGCTGTCAGTTTGACTGGTAAAGGGACATGTGTAAGGGTTGGAAATGTGCAATAATTTGATATGATATAATTTGATATAGTTTTATGAGATCTTTGAACGAAGCAGAAAGAGAATACATTAAGATAATATCAGTGTACTAGTATGATGATATAAAACAATGATAGAATGAGAGTATTTTTAATTGATTTGGTTTGGCGTTTGCTTTATGTTTATGCTTTGGTTTTGTGTTTGTTTTTGTTTGGCGAGAAAAGTTCCCAAATTTTGAGAAAGAACGTACGTGTATCTATCAAATCAAACGAAAAACTGTATTCAAAACGATGGTATACAAAATTGAAAACGCGACAAGAGGCACAAAACATAACTACAATTGAACCCATGCGAGCGAACAACAACCAAAATTGTTTGTTTTTGAACCCAGTTCAGCCCTACAAGCCCTGTATAGAAGCCTTTTCAGATGCTACAAACCCCGAAAGCCCTAAACCCTTAACACAACCTCCCTACCATGTCCTTTCCTCGAGGTCGATGCCGACTCGACAGTATCGGCCTACGCGTTCGATGTGCTTTGGCAGCCTTGGGCAACAAGAGAAGCCTAAACCCTGAACCCTCAACCGCAGGCCTAAACCCTAAACCCTAAACCCTAAACCCTGAGGCTTCGTCGGGCAAGATGAAGCTGCTGAACAGCATGGAGACTGGCGGCGCAGTCGCCTGCCATGACGCTTGAGCCGCACTAGGCTCACAACACTTATCAGAAGCAGGAGCCGTACAGTATTCGCATATGATATGATTGTTAGTACTCAGAATATTTTCTTACATTGGTGAAGTCATTAAACCAGCGCTGTTCCAGGGTGGTAAATTCTTTCTCTTGGTTATGGTCGCCAGTCTTGGTACTGATTGGGTTTTCGTAGAGTAGTGGTGGTAGTAGCAGAATGAAGAAGGAAGAAGTAGCCTCACAGGTGATTAGTGCTTGAGCTGGTGCTGGCAGTTGGCGTAACTTCATCATCATCATCATCACCATCAGGAACTTTTTTTCATCATCACTTTCAGGTTTAGCAATACCACTCTGTGTGTGTGTGTGTGTGTCTGTGTGTGAGTGTGTGTCTGTGTGTCTGTGTTTGTGTGTCGGTGTCTGTGTGTTTTGTTGTTGCTCTTCAGCCATGTGCCCCGCATGCGCGCCATTCCTAGTATACGCCGTTCTATTTCTTTGACATTTGCGGGACTTGCCCCTCGGCTCATGTCATGTACTTCCAGTGGTTGTTTTGGTCTTTGGTTTCATTAACCAATTATAGCTGTACTTCTAGCTGTTCTTTTAACCGATTTTAACCGTATTAGGGCACTTAAGGGGCTCAGACGTGGCTTATAAGTACAGTTACAATTGGTTAGCAAGTGCCATGAATCTCCAAGTAGGGTTTAGGGCTTGCCTTCGCCCTGGGTTCTACGCGCCCTAAGCCCCACACTATAAACCTCTGGAACGCATCAATAAACAGGCGGCCTCTGTGCCCTTGAATAAGTTTAGGGTTTGGGGGTTCGGGTTTAGGGTTTAGGGTTTAGGGTTTAGGGTTTAGGGTTTAGGGTTTAGGGTTTAGGGTTTAGGGTTTAGGGTTTAGGGTTTAGGGTTTAGGGTTCTTCGAAACTAAGGAGGGTGTCTTTTTGGGGTCCTGATTATAAGGATCCGATTATTTTGGGATCTATATGGGGGGGGGTCAGGGTTTTGGGTTTTGAGTATTTTTTCATAGGGCCACGAAAGTTTTTTGCTTCGCCTTGCAGCAGAAGATGAGGTCTCTTTGTCGCGTGCCTTTGCTGATCTATGTGATCAGTTCTCAAGGTTAATTATGCTTCCCTTTTTGAGAGGCCTTGTGATTCCAGGGCACAGATCATTCTGAGTCTTTGGTTTGTCACGGACCCTAGACCCCAAACCCTAAATCCCCAAAAAACTCAAACCCGCGGAAGTATGATCTCTACAACCCCTTTCGCTCCGGCGCAGCCGAGGCACTCCAGAGTAAGGGTCCCAAACTGCTTGGCAGTCCAATGCAGAGCAACCCTAAACCCTAAACCCTAAACCCTAAACCCTAAACCCTAAACCCTAAACCCTAAACCCTAAACCCTAAACGGATGGAACCCATGAGGTTTTGGGCTCGGGGCTTTGAGGTTGGTGTGCGGCTCAGGGTTTTAGGGTTTAGGGTTTAGGGTTTAGGGTTTAGGGTTTAGGGTTTAGGGTTTAGGGTTTAGGGTTTAGGGTTTGATGGCGTTTGATGGCGTTTGGGGGGGGTGTAGGCTTTGTAGCTTTGCCTCCAATTGGCTTGGGGACTTGGGCTTTGTGGGTCAAGGTGCTAAGGCTCAAGCTTTAGTTCTACATCCCAAGAGTCTAAATCCATCCTAAACCCTCCAGATTCTCAACTGAAGCCTGACTCCTACAGCCCTGAAAGCACGGGGGCATGAGCCCTTCTGGAAGGCAACGAGCGCCTCCTGGCCGTCGCGAACTATATGGGCTCTGCCCCCTATGCCGCACCAAATGTCGTGCAGCACGCTGTATGAACCCTAAACCCTAAACCCTAAACCCTAAACCCTAAACCCTAAACCCTAAACCCTAACACCAATTCAGGATTTCCGGCTTTGAGTTCTTAACAAAAGCATGGGAAGGCTCAATCGTTCGCCACCAGCTTCCCCCAAGATTCCTAAGCTGATTGATCACTGCGTGTCCTTGAAGGCCGCCCTCCCCCACCCCCCCTCCACCCCCCACCCCACTCCAACCCTCCCCTCCCCCCCTCACCCTTCTAACGGCTTTTGTGGGGAGATTTCGGAGGGCTAAACCCTAAACCCTAAGCCCTAAACCCTAAACCCTAAAACCCGAAACCCTAAACCCAAAACCCTAAACCCTACAACCCTAAAACCCGAAACCCTGCACCCCAAACACTTTCGGGCCCGAGGTCGCACTCTTCCGGCTGCAGTCGGATGGCCGGCTGGTGGAGCGAACTGACCTCCAAGAGCACGTGTCCTGCCATGAGTGGGATTTAGGGTTTAGGGTTTAGGGTTTAGGGTTTAGGGTCTGCCTTGAGTGGGATTCCGGGTTTTGGGGTGTATGGGGGGCAGTTTAGGGTTTAGGGGTTAGAGTTTGGGATTAGGGTGGTACTGTGGAGTAGGGCCTAGGGCTTAGGGCTAAGTGGGGTGCACAGGAATGAGCTCGTGCTGCGTCGGTCTACTACAACCCCTCCAAGCCCCACCTTACCCTAAGTCCCAAATTGCGAAACTCGAAACCCTAAGCACTAGGCCCTGAGCCCTAAGCCTTAAACCCTAAAACCCTAGCAATGCAGTTAGTTTAAACCCAAAAACCAATCTCAAGGGTTTGGGGTTTAGGGTTTAAGGGTTTAAGGGTTTAAGGGTTTAAGGGTTTAAGGGTTTAAGGGTTTGAGGGTTTGAGGGTTTGAGGGTTTGAGGGTTTGAGGATTTAGGGTTCAGGCTTTAGGGTTTTGGAGTTTGGCGTTTGATTTGGGGTTTAGGCTGCAGGGCTTGGGACTTCGGGGTTTGGGCTCCGGTTCATGGAAGGGAGAGCGCCTAGAACCCTTCGATCCTCGAAACCTGTTGAAACGTGCTTTGAGGCTCTTGGCGTTCGGAGTCTCGGGTTCATCCCGCACTGTTGCCGGAACTTTGTTGTCTTCAGCTACTTCAGTTCCATTGCAGACATGCCTCGTTTTTCGAGGCAACCAAAGGTAGGCTTTGCAAAGACGAGGCCACGTGGCTAGAAGGTCAAGTCGTTGACATCATGTGCTCAGAGGGCCGCGGAGACAGTTGATAGCGGAGAAGACCAACCCCAAACCCTAAACCTCAAACCCTAAACCCCAAACCCTAAACCCTAAACGATCGGCTCTGTGAGTGAAGGGTGTTAAGCACAGCTCAACCTGCGGCTTAGGGTTTGGCATTTTCCCCGATGCCCGAGCCCCGAAACCCTGAGCCCCAAACCCTGAACCCTGAGCCCTGACCCTAAACCCTGAACCCTAACCCTAAGCCCTAAACCCTACACCCTACACCCTAAACCCTAGACCAGAGGAGAGCTTGGGCATCGGCGTTAACAAGGAGAGACTCTTGGCAGCAGCTGGGTTAAGCCTCGGACCCGGGACCTCGAACCCCAAACCCTAAACCCTAAACTCTAAACCCTAAACCCTAAGCCCTGTGGATGGTTTTTTGGGGCTTCGCCTTCTTCCCCAGTGACTCTGGGACCTAGTAACCCGGCACCCGACACCCCAAACCCCTTTCAGATTGGACATGTCGATTTTGCGGTCTAGGGTTTAGGGTTTAGGGCTTACGGTTAGGGTTTAGTGTTTATATAGGGCGTTGGGTTGCATCTGGAGGGCTTAGGGTTTGTGTAGGGCTTAAGCTTTCAAGGAGGGTCCCAACTCGGTTGTTTCCTCCAAGCTTTCGCCGAACCGCCTAAGCACGCAAGACCATCCCAGTCCAAATCCTGAACCCGGCATTCGATGCTGAAGGCCGCCAGGTCAGGATTAGGGTTTAGGGTTTAGGGTTTAGGGTTTAGGGTTTAGGGTTTAGGGTTTAGGGTTTAGGGTTTAGGGTTAGGGTTTAGGGTTTAGGCTTTGGGGTTGGGTCTCGATAGCCCCCTTCCCCGTATCCACCCCCGCCCTCAAGAAAAACAGGGAAGCTACTGGAAAATAGCAGCAACAATACCACTACAACTGAATCACAGTAGGAGAAGCAAGAAATGAGTAGAACGCGGTTATCTTCCTAAACCCTAACCCTAAACCCTAAACCCTAGACCCTAGACCCTAAACCCTAAACCCTAAACCCTAAACCCTAAACCCTAAACCCTAAACCCTAAACCCTAAACCCTAAACCCTAAACCCTAAATCCTAAATCCTAAATCCTAAATCCTAAATCCTAAATCCTAAATCCTAAATCCTAAATCCTAAATCCTAAATCCTAAATCCTAAATCCTAAATCCTAAATCCTAAATCCCAATCCAAACACCTGAAACCTGAGCCCCCTCTCCCGCGGCGAGGGCCATTTTACTACCCCTAAACCCTAAATCCTAAACCCTAAACCCTAAACCCTAAACCCCAAACCCCAAACCCCAAATCCCAAACCCTACTACCCGTAGATTCCTGTTCAGGGCAGGATGGTCCCCATGCGCACATGGCCCTCTTCGACGCTCAGAGCAAGCACCTCTTGGTCGGCCCTTTGGGGGGTTTAGGGTTTAGGGTTTAGGGTATAGGGTGTAGGGTATAGGATTTAAGGTTTCAGGGTTTCAGGGTTTTAGGGTTTTAGGGTTTTTGGGTTTTTGGGTTTTCGGTTTGTAGGGCTTTGGGGTTTTAGGGTCCTAAATCCCACAATCTGTGCAGGGTTCAGGATGCAGTGTTTTAGGGTTTAGGGTTTAGGGTTTAGGGTTTAGGGTTTGCTAGTAGATACCGAAAGAACCCAAGAGTGGGGGAACTAAGGGTCAGGGTGCCGCCAGGTTCGGGCAAACGCCCCAAACCCCCCTAGACACTAAACCCTAAACCCTCGAAACCCTAAACAACCCTAAACCCTAAACCCTAAACCCCAAACCCTCGAAACCCTAAACCCAAAATTTAGCAAATTGTCTGCTGCCGTAGGCATGTCGTGACCTAGGCGCCCCTTCTTTCGCCTCGATTCGTTAAGGGGTTTAAGGGTTTAGGGATTTCGGGGTTTGAAGGGTTTAGGGATTTAGGGGTTTAGGGTTTAGGCTTTAAGGGGTTTAGGGGGATTTGGCGGGTTTAGGAGTTTATCTTCCAGACATCAGTCGTTCAGCAAACCACCCGAAGCATCAACATCGATTCTAAACCCTAAACCCTAAACCCTAAACCCTAAACCCTAAACCCTAAACCCTAAACCCCATACAGGTTCCAGACCTCGGCTTGGACCGCGTCGTCACCTACAACGTCGAGGCGGTCGCGGGAAAGTTGCAGCCCGGACTCCAACGTTTTTTGTTCTTAGTTGAGGGTTTAGGGTTTAGGGTTTAGGGTTTAGGGTTTAGGGTTTAGGGTTTGAGGTTTAGGGTTTAGGGTGGTTTAGGGTTTAGGGTTTAGGGTTTTTGGGGTTTAGGGTTTAGGGTTTAGGGTTGGCTTCTAGGGCTTTAGAGGGTTCAGGGTTGCCGGGTTTATTGGGTTTCTAGAATTTCGAGCGTTTGCTGGGGGGAGAGTTGCCTAGACACCTGTGCTCTCTACATGTTCCGACAGCGGTGGAAGCCCTGTAAGCCTGCACGGTGAGGTCGATGTTAAATGCTAAACTGCGATAGACAATAAGCCTTGAGCCTCTCCTAAGGCCCTGAGGGTTTAGGGTTTAGGGTTTAGGGTTTAGGGTTTAGGGCTTAGGGTTTAGGGCTTAGGGCTTAGGGTTTAGGGTGTAATCTTCTCGGCCTTGAACGAAGTAAGCCCTTGACCCTCTAAGTCTAACCCTCTAAGCCTAAACCCTAAGCCCTAAGCCCTAAACCCTATATAAACCCTAGCCCTAAACCCTAAACCCTAGCCCTAAACCCTAAACCCCGGTAAGCCAAAGAAGGAAGGCGGCTACTCCGCTGGCGCTACCGCCAGGGTCGGGACCGCGCCACATTGCCCTCCACCCCGGCGGGAGGCTTGTCATTTGGGGTTTCGGGTTTAGGGTTTAGGGTTTCGGTTTTGGTGCTTTTGGAGATGTCGGGCTTTAGGCGTTTTTTGGGGGTTTTTGTCCTTAGGGTTTTGAGGCTGGAGTTGGGGTTCCCTGATAGTCCCCTTAAAACCAACAAGGGTGCCCTTTTGATTCCTAGGGGGTCTAGTCTCTACCCTCTGCCTTCAGGGAAAGGACCCTCACGGTTAATCCTTAGGAATGGGAGTTTAGGTCAGTGGGCGTTGGTTAGACAGTTTAGTTTGCACCCGTGTTAGGGCTGAGGGCTTACTAGGACTTCGGGTTTCTTATTAAGTTCTGAAAACTGAATTAGGGCGCAGGGTTACCCCAAAGCCTGAAGTTTGTCTGGCGGCCTCTTGTTGTTGTTCGTTGCTCCGGGCGTTGATCGTCGCAATTCAGCAGGCTGGCCTATGTCCTGAATGAGCTGCTCTCAACGGCACCTTGACGAAAAGTTTCCGAAAAAAACTAGCCTAAGCCCTGTAAACCCTGAAGCCTATTTGAACCTTGCGCCCCCAAAATTGGATTAAACTTTTTTTGTTTATCAACATTGTCCTGTTGCGGGTGCGTTTGGTGTTTAGGGCTTGGGGTTACCCTGAACCCTAAACCCTAAACCCTAAACCCTAAACCCTTTACCCTAATAAAGCCACTTTGTAACACCCTGGACCCAACCCAAGCCCTGCAACCCGCAACCCCTGCGACGAGCCCTATCAGACCTACCCTGCGTGGGACTTTTTCTTCAACAGCAGCCCGTCCCTTCCTAAACCCTAAGCCCAAAACCCTAAACCCTAAACCCTAAACCCTAAATCCTAAACCCTAAACCCTGAACCCTGAACCCTAAACCCTAAACCCTAAACCCCATCGTAGGGCTCCCCAAGCTCGCCTCAGTCGGCCGTCAGGTCGTCCCCTGCCACTGGGACGCCAAGACGTGCAGCCTGACGTCGATCGGAGAGCCGCAGCACGGCAGAGCGCAGGATTTAGGGTTTAGGGTTTGGGGTTTAGGGTTTAGGGTTTGGGGTTTAGGGTTCAGAGTTTAGGGTTTAGGGTTCAGGGCTTAGGGTTTGGGGTTTGGGGTTCAGGGCTTAGGGTTTAGGATTTAGGGATTATAGGATTTAAGACTTAGGGCGTCGGGCCTAGGGCTTAGGCTTTAGGTTTAGGGTGTTCAGGGTTTCGGGGTTTAGGGGTTTTAGATGTAGAGGTTTAGGAGTTTAGGAGACCCTATTGTTGCTTTCCCCGCTTGTAGGGTTACACAGGTTCCGGCCTTGAGATATCTCCACCTCATCAGTTTTGCACGGCCCCTGCAACCCAGAACACCTGCTGAGCCCAAAACACTTCAACCCTTAGGGTTTAGGGTGTAGGGTTTAGGGTTTGGGGTTTAGGGTGTAGGGTTTAGGGTTGAGGGTTCGAATTATGCTACAGAAGGTTTCGAGGCGCAACGATCTAAGGATAGCCACCGTGCCCGGGGCGGCAGTGGGTGTCGGTGGTGAGACATACTGTGCCGCCATCCGGGTGTCAGGACGGTTTAGGGGTTCAGGGGTTTAGGGATTTAGGGACTTAGGGGTTTAGGGTTTTAGGGTTTCGGGATTTGGGTTTTTGGGTGTTTCTGTCTTTTTTTTCGTTTTGGCTGCAGGGATTTGGGGGTTCAGAAGGTAGGCAAGGCCCTCATATGACCCAAACCCTTAGGACCAACTGACAGTCCAAAGGCAGCGCACCCTTCGTGTGCCAAGGAAGGGACTCAGGGTTGAGGGTGTGTACACTAGGGTTTCAGGTCAAACCTTAAACCTTGGGAAGTTCCCCCCTTATGCTAACGGTTCATAGTGGGGATTATAATAGGGGGCTACTATAAACCTTATGAAGGACTGTTGGTAAAAGGGGAACATCTCAACTTCAACCCTAAACCCAAAGGTTTAGGATCAACATGTGAAGGAGATGGCCGTTTCGTCTACGTGTCCAACCGTGGCCACTGCTCCATCACCGCGCCCCAGCCAAACAGACACCCGAAAGCCCAGAAACCCTAAACCTTCAACCCGAAACCTCACAGCCAAAAACAAAGATGTTCATATAATAAAAACTCCTAAACCCCAAGCCCTAAGCCCAAGCCCTCAACCCTCAAGCCCAGTGGACCCCAAACCTTCCACCTTGGCCCCCCCCCCATTGTTCAGCACGAATTTGGGAATTTGATCCATTTGGGCCCCTCTGACCCCTCTGACCCCCCATTGTTCAGCACGAATTTGGGAATTTGATCCATTTTGGCTTCTCTGATCTTCCGGGAAGCAAAAGCTCTTCGAAGGCCTGGGGGGCTTCGTGGGGGGTACCCCAGGATTCGGGAAAAAGTGCTCGATTCCCAGTAAGTTTTAAATAAAATTTGTATAAAAAATGACCCCCTCATTTTCCAGATTTCTCTGGCCCTCTCCATTCTGGCCTTCTGACCCCTTGGCCCCTTGCATTGTTCAGCACGAATTTGGGAATTTGATCCATTTCGGCCCTTCTGACCCCTTGGCCCCTTGCATTGTTCAGCACGAATTTGGGAATTTGATCCATTTTGGCCCCTCTGACCCCTCTGACCCCCCATTGTTCAACAGGAACAAAAAACACACTTTCTATTGTCGTAATGTTATGGGATTCTTTGGGCGGGTGGGTTCTTTTCCGTTGCCTACACACACTGCTGGCCTAGTAAATGCTCGAACTTGAGATGCTGAACCCTAAACCCTAAACCCTAAACCCAAGGTCTTCCGGGTGCTGGAGGATGGACTCCTGGAGCGTGTGAGCTGCAGCTTCACGGGACCAGGGGTGCAAGCGGAGGCGGGGTGCAGGGTTTTAGGGTTTATGGTTTAGGGTTTAGGGTTTAGGGTTCAGGGTTCAGGGTTCAGGGTTCAGGGTTTAGGGTTTGTTTCTGGGTTTCTAGGGTTTTGAGGGTTTCTGGGGTTTCTGGGGTTTAGGCTTTAGTTAGGGTCTAAGTAGGGTATAGGGCTTAGGTCTCAGGGTTCATAAATTTCAGGGTTTCTAGGGCTTAGGGTTCAGGGTGTAGGGTTGAGGCTCTAGGGTAAGGATTTAGGGTTTAGGGGCCGTCAGCCCTGAACCCTAAACCCTTTGCCCCGCTACAGGAGCGAGACCCTTGCTGGCCTCCGCAGGACTGCCCCAGAGACTTTGCAACTCGGCTCTTGTAGGCTGAAGTGCCCAAAGCCCTGTGGTTTAGGATGCTGACAGTGCGTAACGGGGATTCTAATAAGGGGGGGCTATAATCCCTGTTAAGGGCTGTTAGTATAAGGGGGGAAAATCCCAAGTTTGGAGGTTAAAGCCCTCCGCCTTAAATTCCAAACCCCAGACGCCGCGCTAGAGTCCAAGACGGCACCCTTTAGGGCATCTGCAACCCCAGTCTACGTGCCCTAGGGGTTTAGGGTTTGGGGTTTAGGAGTGTAGGGATTAGGGTTTAGGGTTTAGGGTTTAGGGTTTAGGGTTTAGGGTTTAGGGTTTAGGGTTTAGGGTGGGGTTAAGGAGTGTAGGGATTAGGGTTTAGGGTTTCGGGTTTGGGGTCCTTGACTTCGTGCGACTTCTAGCTGCAGTGTCTATAGTTCGACCAAGATGGGGATCAAATCTTAATGGCTTTATAGGGTTTAGGGTTTAGGGTTTAGGGTTTAGGGTTTAGGGTTTAGGGTTTAGGGTTTAGGGTTTAGGGTTTAGGGTTTAGGGTTTAGGGTAGGGCCTAAGGACTCAGGCACACCGGTATACGACCCCTTACATTCAGGGTACCCCAAAAGCGGCCATCCAGAAGAAAGCCGACCGCATATTTCATATACAGACATCAGCTCAACCTAGAACTTCATTTGGATCTTCGCTTATACAGCGTGGTAGAAGAAGGTTTTCGTTTGGGGTTATGAGAGAATTACCCTAAACCCTAAACCCTAAACCCTAAACCCTAAACCCTAAACCCTAAACCCTAAACCCTAAACCCTAAACCCTAAACCCTTAGCCCAAAACATGTGGAGAGTCCGCCAACAGCTGGAGACTCTGAGGCCCTCTGCGACAAAGACCAGTGGCTCATCGCCGCCAACCAGGCGCGCAACTCCAGAAGCTCTGGAGCCCCCAAAACCCTAAACCCTAAACCCTAAACCCTAAACCCTAAACCCTAAACCCTAAACCCTAAACCCTAAACCCTAAACCCTAAACCCTAAACCCTAAACCCTAAACCCTAAACCCTAAACCCTAACAGGACAGCGACTCCCTGGTCATCTTCCGCCGGGACGCGACAAGCGGCGCGCTTGTTCAAGAAGGCTGGTCGTTTGTGTTTAGGGTTGAGGGTTGAGGGTTGAGGGTTGAGGGTTGAGGGTTGAGGGTTGAGGGTTGAGGGTTGAGGGTTGAGGGTTGAGGGTTGAGGGTTGAGGGTTTAGGGTTTAGGGTGTAGGGTTTAGGGTTTAGGGTTTAGTAAATTGGGGGGTTTGGTTTATGGCGTTTATGGTTTGGGGTTTAGGGTTGGGGGCCTTAGAGTTGGGTGTTGAGGGTTTAGGAGTTGGGGATTCGGGTTTATGGTTTGGGGACCCTCCGAACCCCAGATATAGGCTTTAGGGTAAACCCTAAACCCGAAGCCCTAAGCTCTAAACCCTAATCCCTCAACCCTGAGCCCGAACCCTCTAGCAGTTCAGGGCAAAGAACCAGCCCTAAACCCTAAACCCTGGAGGCTCCACGGCGGAATGCATCGCACCTGCCTGTGCCTGGCTGGGCATATGGGGGCGTCTCTGGGGTTTAGGATTTATAGGGTTTCGGGTTTGGGGTTTGGGGTTTAGGGTTTAGGGTTAGGGTTTGGGGTTTAGGTTCTCTGGGGTTTAGGGTTTCTAGGGTTGGGCTTGTTAGGATTTGGGTTTGAAGGTTGAGAGTTAGGGTCTAACGCCTTGCTAAAATTTGGGGAATTCTCTCTCTAAAGTACCGGAGGGTGTAATTCTCTTTGGAGCTAGCCACGTGCCAGCCCAAGGCACAGGAAGGCAGGAAGATTTAGAGGCAATAGAAGAGTGTTCGTGGTTAGTTGGCTGTGGAACCGTCAACCTCCACAGCCAAAAATTGCCCTGAGGCTGCCACCTGAAGGGATCAAACTGTAGTCCGAAGTGGCTTTATCCTTACTTGTGCACCCTGAACCCAAAACCCTAAACCCTAAACCCCAAACCCTAAACCCTACCAAAAAAACCTCATAGGGATGCAGGGTTGCCAGGAGTGGTTTCAAGTCTCTAGAGCCGGAGGCTCGGGGCTCAGGGTTTAGGGTTTAGGGATTAGGCTTAGGTTCTTTAGGGTTGTTTTGTGTGTGTGTGTGTGTGTTTGGGGCATATGGGTGTTTAGGGCCTTCCAGTGCTTAGGGTTGTTCGGGTTTATGGAGGGTTCAGAGTGTTTAGGGTTTTCTTGCTTAGGGTCTTTAAGTTTTGGGGCTGCTAGGATTTAGGGCTGTTACGGCTTAGGGTTGATTGGGATGGGCATCAGCAAGGTACTTATGAAACTTGTCACCAACCAACTAACATTGGGGGAGTGGTTCAGACCTCCTTCCAGCCACCCTGAGCTATATGGAATAGAATGGTGATAGGGGCCCCCAAAAAAACGCTAATGTTGAACAACCACCATGTTCTCTCCTTGGGTTATTTAGGGGTCAGGGCTTAGGGTTAGGGTTTAGGGGTTTAGGGTGTCGGGTTTAGGGCTTGCTCCTTTAGACCAAGGTGTACTGCCCCTTTTCTGAGCGCCACCGTGGCACCGTGTGAGCTCTAGGGCTTCGCCCCCTTGGGGACTTGAGGGGCGGGAAGGGGGAGAGGGGGGGGGGGGGACGCCCGGCACAGAGTTTATGGCGGAAAAGGGCAGGTGCGTCGGACGGCAGAGGGTTTAGGGTTTAGGGTTTAGGGTTTAGGGTTTAGGGTTTAGGGTATAGGGTTTAGGGTTTAGGGTTTAGGGTTTAGGGTTTAGGGTTTAGGGTTTCGTGTGCCTCGCGAGTCCAAAATGCTTCAGGAAGTCTGGGTTTGTGGGTTTCTTCAGCCGTATCCGTCTTATCGGATCATGCCCTTAGTTTGGCGGTTTAGAGTTTAGGGTTTAGGGTTTAGGGTTTGGGGTTTGGGGTTTAGGGTTTAGGGTTTAGGGTTTAGGGTTTGGGGTTTAGTTTAGGGTTTGGGATGTAGGGTTTAGGGGCACCCTCAACCCCCTCAATCCCAATTTGGGTCGGCAGGGGGTCAGACTCTAAGCCCGCCTTGCCGGAAGTTGGGTGCCTTGCCGGGAGTTGTGTTTAGGGTTTATAGGGTTTAGGGTTTAGGGTTTAGGGTTTATAGGGTTTATTGTTGAGGGAAGTTGGGTGGGAAGTTGGGTGCCTTGCAACTTGCCCAATAAACCAATGCACGCCTAAAGCCCTCAGCAATCCTTCACACTCCAATAAATGCCCTAAACACGCGTCATGCTTTGCGGAAAACGCATTTTCTTTTCGGAGTCGAAATGTTCTTTGGGCCCTTGTAAGACACAGTTTTTTGCCTTGCCCAACCTCAAACATGTGTTTTGGTGCCTTCGGAAAATGAATTCTCCGGGGCATGTGGGCCCTCGGAAACGCATGACTGACAAAACAGAAACGTGGGTTTGGCACTTGCAAAATGCAAAATTGCAAAGCGCAAGGTCACAAGGCTCGCTGTGCCAATGCACTCCGATGGACAAAGCAGATGGGCAGCTGCGACCACGCAAATGTCGTCAAGATCCCGGGCTTTCTCAGCGACGACGATGGCATCAGAATCATCCCTAAACCCTAAACCCTAAACCCTAAACCCTAAACCCTAAACCCTAAACCCTATACGTGTGCGCCGTTCCTGGTCGCAGGGCTGTCACTGGAATTTGTTTTCGACTTCAAGAGCCGCGGTGTGAAGCAGTTGCATGTGTTTTCGACATTTCTCGTCGAGCGGTGGGCACTGTGTGTTCTTTTCGACGTCCTGGGCCTTTTTGCAGAGTCTTCGGGTAATAATGTACATATAGTATGCATGTGTCATACCCCGAGCCAAATTTGTTATAAACGCGCCCGGCATTTGTCCTCGATAGGGCATAGGGACAGCCTCTTCAACCAAAGAAGCTGTTTGGCATTTTCCGTCTGAGTTTTGGTGACGAAACTCCCAACCCCGGACGTCCTGAGCCCAAAACCAGGGCCCCGAGGTCAAGACCCTTTGGAAGCTCATATGGTTTGGTGTTCTGAGTCTGTAGGTGTGGTTTTCGGGGTTTGGGCACCTTCGAACGATCCCTAGACTTTTGCTTCAACTGCCGGATGCCACGACCATGCAAGATTGCTAGGGGTTAGGGTTTAGGGTTTAGGGTTTAGGGTTTAGGGTTTAGGGTTTAGGGTTTAGCGTCTAGGGTCTAGGGTCTAGGGTTTAGGGTAGAGTTTAGGGTTTAGGGAGGAACGGGGCGAAGTTTCCTCCGTGTCCCCACCTTTGGGCTCAGCTTTCGTGCCACGGGCGCACGCGAACATGATCAGAACCCAGCATCATGACAAAGTCCCACCACCCATGTGTGAACCCTAGCAACTCTTGAGCCTAGCCCCACTGACAGCTTTAGGGTTAAGAAGTAGTTCAGAGCATGCAGTTAAATGGGTGTTCTGATGGAGTCTTATGCCAGCTGATGCACACGACCACACCTGCGCTTTGCAAACCTTGGACACAGTCCCCGCGGCCTGACCATAGCCAGCCCAATGGTCGGGTCCTAAACCCTAAACCCCAAACCCCAAACCCCAAACCCCAAACCCCAAACCCCAAACCCTAAACCCCAAACCCTAAACCCTAAACCCTAGACCTGAACCAAACTCGCATCTTGGAGCCGAGCTCGGATGCATTGCGAAGGACCGCTGCGCGAAGATCATGGCTTCTGCGTCAGAGTTTAGGGTTTAGGGTTTCGGGTTTAGGGATTCGGGTTTAGGGTTTAGGGTTGAGGGCTTAGGGTTTAGGGTTTAGGGTTGACGGGGCGTTTTCTGAAACCCTACTTTTCACATCGTGGTATCCTTAGTTGCTTTGTTTTAAGGGGTGGGAAGGGGAGGGGAGGATTTAGGGCAATGGAAGGACGTCTAGTTTCTGTGATGCTGTTGGAATGCGAGCCATGAAGTTCCCAACCCCTAAACCCTAAACCCTAAACCCTAAACCCTAAACCCTAAACCCTAAACCCTAATCTCGCTCCACAGCACCCCTTTCGGCCCCAACGAAAAACCAAGAAACAGCTTCGGAGTTGGTGGGGTGCCTCCTGCGGATGCTTCCCTGAAGCACAAAGACAATGTACATAAACCACAAGTGTCCAGGGCCTAGGTTTTTAGGTTTAGGGTTTGGGGTTCAGGGTTTAGGATAGATTTAAGGTTACATAAACCATAAGTGAAGCGTCCAGGGCCTAGGTTTTTAGGGTTTAGGGTTTAGGGTTTAGGGTTTAGGGTTTAGGGTTTAGGGTTTAGGGTTTAGGGTTTAGGGTTTAGGGTTCGTGGAGTTTATTTGCGGCTCCTTTGGTGTTGATCTCAAGGATGGAAGAAACGGGCTGCGATGATCCTCTTAGGGTTCGGGATTGGGGGGGGTTAGGGTTTAGGGTTTAGGGTTTAGGGTTTAGGGTTCAGGGTTCAGGGTTCAGGGTTCAGGGTTCAGGGTTCAGGGTTCAGGGTTCAGGGTTTCGCGTTTGGGGTTTAGGGTTTAGGGTTTAGGGACCCCAAACCCTAACTCCTAACTCCTAAGCCAGTTAGGACGTCGAACCCCTGAGCCCTCCGCGGAAGCAACAACGACACGGCTCCCTAAGCCCTAAGCCCTAGACCCTAGACCCCAAACCCTGAACCCTAAACCCTAAACCCTACACCCTAAACCCTAAACCCCACTCCCGCAGGACTGAGAGTTTTGGAATGCTGCAACAGTGAGCGTTTGCGAGCCACGAGGCGAACCTCGGGGCCAGGGTTGGGGTTCAGGGTTTCAGGGCTTTGGGAATTTGCGGTTTTGGGTTTTTGGATTTTGGGGGTTTGGGATTTTAAGGTTTTGGAGTTTCAGGGCCTATGATTTGGAGCGGTGTAGATGGTTTGGTTCACATTTTCTTGGCGCGCGGGGTTGGGCTCATAGCCGGATTGAGTGATGGCTTTAGGACAGTTACACTCGAAGCTTAAGCTTCTACACCCTAAACTCGCAACCCTGAACTCCCAAACCCTAAACTTAAACCCTAAACCCTGAACCGTAAACTCCCGAACCCTAAGCCCTCTACCCCAAACTGCTTCGGGCTTAGGGTGGACCTCTTTTGGATGCCGCTGTTAAAGGTGGAGATGGGTTGAGGGCTTCTACTAGTACTCCCGCTTTGGGCGGTTCAGGGTTCAAGGTTCACGGTTCAGGGTTTAGGGTATAGGGTTTAGGGTTCAGGGTTTAGGGTTTAGGGTTTAGGGTTTAGGGTTCAGGGTTTAGGGTATAGGGTTTAGGGTTCAGGGTTTAGGGTTTAGGGTTTAGGGTTTAGGGTTCAGGGTTCAGGGTTTAGGGTTTAGGGTTCAGGGTTCAGGGTTTAGGGTTTCGGGTACCAGCATGCCAGTATCGCAGATTCCTCTGCGTCCTGAGGTTGTGTCGGAACCTGGGGGCTTCGGGTGGTTCTTTGATTGTGGCGAAGACTCTTGGAAGGGGTTCGTATCAGTGGCAGTGTGTCTGTGGCATAGCTTCAATAAGGTATGCAACCTTCTGTACACTCGCGAGGCACCGTGAGCCCAGCCCACAAAGCCTTGAGCTAAGCATCTCCCACTCTGGCCCCAACCGGGAAGCTGCGTCATTCCCCTTGAGGCTCCAGTCCAGACATTCGGGCTTAGGGTTTTGGGTTTCGGATTTAGGGTTTAGGGTTTAGGGTTTAGGATTTAGGGTTTAGGGTTTTGGGTTTAGGGTTTAGGGTTTGGCATGGCTAGTTGCATGTGCAAGTAGCTCTTCCCAGGACAACACTGTCAAGGAGCGAGTAGGCCCAGGCAGAAGTCTGCTTGAAGAGCTCTCCAAGCCTTTCGATCCCGGGATGCCATGTGGCCGGAGAGCTTGAAGTCACTAAATTTGCGGGTCACCTTTGCGGAAAACGGAGCCTTACAATATGGGGGTTCACGAAAATATGGGGCCCCTAATATGCACCCCCCAAATAGTGGGATTCCCTTAAAAATAAGGACCCCCATAAGGCACCCCGAATTGTCGGAAAACCCCAAAGAAATGGGTACCAAAGGGACCCGGAATTGAGAGAAACCCCTACGTGATAGGAAGAGTCCATCCTCGCGTCATGGCTGCGGACAGCGAGAAGGAGCGACAGGAAGTGGGACAAAGAGATGGGGTTGGCCACAGTCCTCAACTTAGGGTTTGGGGTTTGGGGTTTAGGGTTTAGGGTTTAGGGTTTAGGGTTTAGGGCTTAGGGTTTAGGGCTTAGGGTTTAGGGCTTAGGGCTTAGGGTTCCAAGGCCTACACCTGTAGAAGTGCCCCAAGGCCCTAAACCCTAAAACCCTAAACTTGGCACGTTCGGCCTTGTACTAACAGTCCTTAATCGGGATGATAGTACCCCCTATGATCATCCCAACTTTTAAAGCCGAAGCCCCCGACGAAGACCCCGATAAGGGTACAAGAGAAGCAGCTGAAGAGCAACCACCAACTCTGAACTGTGTCCCTGTAGGTAGGGGCCTTCCAGTGCCTGGGCCTGCTCAACCCTCAGCCCCCAACCTAAGCTTGCCCAGCCAACAGTTGACCTTCATTCTTGTCGGGCTTCCTTCTCTTGTAGAAATCATAGCGCCTGACCCTTTGATTCCTAGGCGACTGGAGAACTAAGAAAACCGTCCGGTCAGGATAAGTTCGACTACCTGTTCAAGTTCATCATCATAGGCTGGATGGATCGGGCTTGTTGCTGGGAGGCTTTAGAGTTAAGGCTGGGCAAATTACAGCGACCAGCGACCCCAGGTTCGCGAAATAGCGATAAATTGGCGAGGTACGCGGTGTGAATTAGGGCTGGGGTGGCGGAGGGGGGGCCTGGTGGGGCGAGTCACCCTAGAGACAAGAAGATGTATCAGTACATCTTTCTCGGGCTTTCAACTTGGGAAAGCAGACTGACTATAGCTTGCTTCGAGGACATATTGCGACTATGGTATGCCACGAAAAATCAGCTTGAAGACTGCCCAAGCATGGAACTTGTGCAAGAGCACCTGGCCCGTTTGCGGTCCCGTCTTACAAGCTACACAGACAAGTCCTCATCGTTAGCAGCCGCTTTGGTTGGAGATGCTGCGCTTGAAGGCGGATACGAGGCTGAGAAAGTTTGCCGCTTGTGGCGTTCGCAGCAGGGCCAGGAAGTCAAGGTCCACTACACCGCCAAAGACGACACTGAGCACGAATACTACTTGCAGTTCGAGAATAAACCCTAAACCCTAAACCCTAAGCCCTAAGCCCTAAACCCTAAACCCTAAATGCCTTGTAGTGCCTCGAGCGATTGGAGGAAAGTTTAGGGTTTTGGGTCAAGGGTTTATTGGGCTTTAGGGTGTAGGGTTTAGGGTTTAGGGTCTAGGGTTTCGGGTTTGTCAAGATAGTCCCTTGCCTTCTTTCAAGGGCTCTGAAGTATGGGCCCTTGAGTTTCATAGGGTTGATGAGGGGCACGGGGTGGGGGTGGGGGAAGGGGGGGCCCAACGAAGGGCCAATATTGAGGGGACATGTAACCACCCGAAGATTTAGTGCAGCTCAGCGGGTACTTTAATGGGCCAGGGCCTTACTACTTGCTACTTACTACTTACTACTTACTACTTACTACTTACTACTTACTACTTGCTACTTACTACTTACTACTTGCTAATTGCCTATTGCTACTTGCTACTTCTAAAGCCAACCGCCCCCCAATTGGGGTAGTTTAGGCTCCGCCTGCTGACGCAGGTGATGCCGGAGCGGGGAAGTCGTCCCCTTGGTGGGCCAGGATGAGAAGTGAGAAGGGCCGAAATGGTTTGTCGGGTTTAGGGTTTAGGGTTTAGGGTTTAGGGTTTAGGGTTTAGAGCAACAGTTTTTTAAGGCAAGGCCCCTACCATGCAGCAGCCGGGCCGCTTATCAGCAACACCTCAAAAAGAGCTTCACATTCGTACGGGCGGGGCATGGTACCCTGGGTACCCCCGAAATTTCGGAACCCCCCCCCGCCCCCCCAAGTTTATGTAAAGCATTGGGCTTCCGCACCCGTCCAAACTCTGTATGTGCAGGCGAAGGTCAACAATATTGAGACTACCCCCTGATTCTTAGTAGGGAATGAGGGAGTATATAGGGCCCTCATTTCCTCATTCCCAACTAAGAACCAGCCAGATTAGGGCTTAGGGCCTCGGGTCTTAGACCCTAAACCCTAGACCCTAAACCGGCCTAAACCCCAAACCCTAAACCCTAAACCCTAAACCCCAAACCCTAGGGTCTTAGGGTTCCGGGCTTACCGAGGGAGAGCTTGGGGTCTCGATGTAGGGGCTTTCACTTGAGCTGGGCGGGGCAGGGTGGACCCTGTATGGGTTTAGGGTTTAGGGTTTAGGGTTTAGGGTTTAGGGTTTAGGGTTTAGGGTTTAGGGTTTAGGGTTTAGGGTTTAGGGTTTAGGGCTTAGGGTTAAATGCATCTGGGTACGTGTGAGGGGAATCCTTACTTGGGCGGACACTTGGCTCGCAAGGTCCTGCCTTCTGCACCAGTTCATTGACAACAAATGCTGCCGACTCAGTGTCTTGCGAGACCCACGGTGGGAGAATCAAGATTTTCGACGCTGGCTCCCACTTTAGGATCTTTGGGCAACAGAGGCTAAGACCCGGAGTAGGCCCTTATTCCAGGGTTGGGGTTCCCTTGTAATCCCCTTAAACTCAAAATGGGCACCCTTTGATTCCTAAGCTACTCCTGGGTCAAGGAGGGCAGCGCTTGAGCTCCCAAAAGACCCTAAAATCCCAATCCCTAAACTCAAGCTGGGCTTGCTTTTCGGGGTTCGGGCTTCGCCGTTGAGGGTTTGGTCCTTCAACTTCAAACAGAGTGTTGGGTTTAGGGTTTAGGGTTTAGGGTTTAGGGTTTAGGGTTTAGGGTTTAGGGTTTAGGGTTTAGGGTTGTAAAAAAACAAAATCTCAAAGCCCACTTCCAAGTGAGCTTCACAAGGACTCCAGGAGCTTTTGAGGGGTCAAAAGGTTCCGCTTACGGGTGTAAGGGCTTCGGCTCCAATGGTGCGCTTTTATTCTAATTGCCCTAAACCCTAAACCCTAAACCCTAAACCCTAGACCCTAAACCCTAAACCCTAAACCCTAAACCCTACAAGTGCTTAAGGGGAGTTAAATTGCCCTGGCTGCTGAGTCAAGAAGGGCTCCTCTCACACCATCGGCGTGGAGCAGCGCGCTTGGAGTCGCTTCACTGTCCCCGACTTCCGGGGTTTAGGGTTTAGGGTTTAGGCTTTAGGCTTTAGGCTTTAGGCAATAGGCTTTAGGCTTGAGGGTTTAGGGTTGCAGGGTTTAGGGTTGCAGGGTTTTAGGGTTTAGGGTTGCAGGGTTCAGGGGTTTAGGGTCTAGGGTTTGGGGTTCAGGGGTTTAGGGTTTTCGAGGTTTTAGGGGTTCTAGGATTTAGGGTTTGTCGGGCTTTTAGGGTTTTAGGGTGTTTTGGGGGTTGCAGGGTTTTGGGGTTTTAGGGGTTTTGGGGTTTATAGGGTGTTAGGGGCTTTCAGGGTTTTCGGGTTTTGGGGCTCTAGGGTTTTGGGTTTTAGGGTTTTTAGGGTTTCAGGGTTTAGGGTTCACGTGTTTGTGAATGGTTCAAATGTTGTGTTTGCGTTCATGTTCTCTTGCTCTTTAGCATGTCAGTTGCGGTGGGGTTGGGCTGGGTGGGGGCGGATGGGGCCGGGTGGGGGGGGGGGGGGGGGGGGGGGGGGGGGGGGGTGGGCTACGAGTTTCGGGGTTTAGGGCTTGGAGCTTAGGTGTTCCGGGTCTGGAGTTTGGGTTTCGGGGTTTCGGGCATATAGGTGTTCAGTTCCTGGGCGGAGGGGGTAGACCCCAAACTCCGGCAAACTGACAGTCGACACCCTAAACCCTAAACCCTAAACTAACCCTAAACCCTAAACCCTAAACCCTAAACGGAGATATTGTTTGGAAACCCCTCCAAGAAAAAGGCGCCCAAAGCCGCAACAGTATATGCTGTATGAGAAAGCCTAGAACAAGCCGGGGTGCAGAGTCTTGTGGGACTACTTAGGGAAGCCTAATTAAGATTATTCAAGGAGGGGAAGCCAGGGGCGGGTCGTGTAGAGGTTGCAGGGAACCCCATGAGTTTGGGGTTTAGGACTTTTTGGGTCGAAGTGCCCCCCCCCCCCGAAAAAAAAAACTGAAAAGAACAAAAACCCTAAGCTCCTACGGTCTTCTGGCAGGTTTGGCTCCAAGATCATCACGGTGGGAGGCGCGCCCCTGAGCACTAAACCCCAAACCCTAAACCCTAAGGGAGGAAACTTTGATGATTTGACAAGGGGATCACATTTCAGGCTTTGGGCCCAGTGTGGGATTTTGGGAGGGGTTAAGGGTTTAGATTTGAGGCTTGAGAGCCTCCTTTGCTAGGACAAGGAACAAAATTCATTGTAACCCTTAAACAGGTACTAGCACTTAAATGATCGATTCCTTCAGGTACATAGAAGGAGGGGCTCTCGAAACACTAAAGCCTGAAGCCTAAACCCTGAACCCTAGACCCTAAACTCTCAGCCCTAAACCCTAAACCCTAAACCCTAAACCCTAAACCCTAAACCCTAAACCCTAAACCCTAAACCCTAAACCCTAAACCCTAAACCCTAAACCCTAAACCCTAAACCCTAAACCCTAAACCCTAAACCCTAAACCCTAAACCCTAACCCCTAACCCCTAACCCCTAACCCCTAACCCCTATAACCCTAAACCCAAGTCAAAGGACTTTTGGGGGTCTAAGGTAGCGTCCAGCGGGCAGGTCGAAACATCAAGCTCCAAATTTGGGACACCGCGGGCCAGGCCCGCACCCCATAATTGAGGGCTTATAAGGCCTTTCAGGGTTTAGGGTTTGGGGTTTAGGGTTTAGGTTTGGGGTTTAGGGTGTAGGGTGTAGGGTTTAGGGTTTGGAGTTTCGGGTTCAGGGTTTAGGGTTTAAGGGATAGGGCCGGGGTTGGCAGGCTTGCAGCACTTGGCGGTAGCTCCATAAACCGAAAGCCCGGGAGCGCCAACTTCCTTCGTGCTTCCTATAAGACCCTTCTGATGAAGGCTACGCCCTCTAACACCCTAAACCCTAAACCCTAAACCCTAAACCCTAAACCCTAAACCCTAAACACTAAACCCTAAACCCTAAACCCTAAACCCTAAACCCTAAACCCTAATGTTGATTGCACCCGACCTCGTCCAGGACCCTTTGTCGCCGACTTGTGCAGGACATGGCCCAAAAACAGGCCAAAGCGTTGTGGCCAGAGAGCCACCATGTCATATCACGTCAGGAGGTGCATGATCAACATGTAAAGCAGAGATCATTCGCACTATCCAACAAAGCATGTGCAGAGCACAAGCAGACGATCGCAGAGACATGTTGTTCGCCGCTTTGAATGTGAAAAAGAGTCCGAAATTCGACACCATGGCCGCCTCGCAATCTGCTGACACCCCATTCCAACCTGCTGCTCGTCAGCAGGTTATGAGCCCAAGCCTGCGGCTCCCCGGAGAAGATCGACAAGGACCTCAGTATGGTCGAATACACGAGCAGAGGTTGGATGGTGGTGCACCAATAGTCAATGGTTATGGTTCAGTGCCAGTGACATCTGCAGGGCATGGCGTGCTGGATTCATCAGTGCATGTGAGTTCAGGGGCTGTACCCATGGAGCAATCAGTGCATGCGGGTTTGTCAGTGCCTGTGAGTCTAGGGGCTGTACCCGTGGAGCAATCAGTGCCTGTGGATGCATCAGCGCCTGTGAGTCACTCAGTGCCTGCGAATACATCAGTGCCTGAGAACATGTCAGTGCCTGCGAATGCATCAGTGCTTGCGAATTCTGGGCCTGGCGTAGCCCCTGGATATGGTGCAAGCATGGATGCTGGGACTGAGTCAACCATTGGATATAGAGGTGGGCCGGGTTTTCCACAGGGTTCGAGTTCTGGTGGTGGAGCAGCTGATAACATCATGAGAATGGAACAGCATGTAGCTACTGGAGCTGGCCCTATGGTGGATATGGAGGGACAATGGCATCTTTATCCCTCACCACTGCAGTCTCCTGTGTCTGAGCAGGAGAATCGTCAGACAGTGGAAAGTACACGAGCTGGCCGAGCAGCTCATTGGTTTGCCCGACTTGGAGACTTCTTCCAGCAGCGGAGGGTGGAAGTTCACACTGCATGGAGTCCGGGAAGACAAATTGCAGAGAATCCGTGGCTGAGACCACGAACGGCGCTGCAAAGTGGTGGATGGGTTGGAGAGACCGCTCGCAGCCCCGATCGACCCGTGACGCCACCTTCGAGTGGCTCTGGAGGTGTTCCTCAGGAGTTGGTGCAAGCGGAGGTATCTCGGCAACTGGAAGTCGCGATGGGCGACATGTATGGTGGTGTGATGGAACGCATTGCTGAGGAGAGAAAAAAGGCCGAGGAGGCAATGCTGGAGTCGCAACGACTGCGGGATCAACTCCGAGAAGTGGAGGCGATGGTGGCGGAAAAGGAAGGGGAGGCTCAACGAGCAGTTCCACGAGGTCAATCTGCACCTGATCCGTCGTCGTTACCAAGAGTGACCGTCCCTCCTTGCTCCTCGCACTGAAATGGAGGTTGGAACTAGTGGTCCAGGCATAGCAACCGGAGCGCCGGCGGGAGGTCCATATATAGATTTTGGATTGGCTCAGCCAGCAGTTCCACGAGGTCAATCTGCACCTGATCCGTCGTCGTTACCTGGTCCCAGCGTTAGAGCTGGGTGTACAGAGCAACCGAGGTCGGCATCGTTGGAACCCGAGCGTGGAGCTAAGGGTTTTTTGCAGAGCCTCTTTGGAATCGGTCACCAGCCTAGAGCAGAAAGGGCTGAATCTGGTCCACGACAACATCCACCTCTACGTGCAGGAGGAGGTCAATCTTCGTCAACGCCAGGCAATGAGCAAGTCTTGACTGCGATGGCCAGGGGTATAGAGTCGCTCCTACAACAACAGCAATCTCAAGGCGCTCGGGGTGAAAAACCCGAAACCGTGAAGCCTGGAATATCAGCTCTACCTGACCTACCACCATACACACCAAGCACGGGAAGTATCGACTTGCTGAACTGGATCACGCACATCACACCCATCATGGAGGACCTGAGCGATAGTTCGAGCCAGTGGTGGATGACAACCTTGCAAGATGTGACTGAATGGTACAGCCGCTTCTCGGCTTCGACGCCCTTGGAGAAGATTAAGCTGAAGCCGGCAGCAACCGCTGTAAGCAAGCCCGAATGGAGTCGAGTGGAAAGGCGCGCAACGGCGATTTGGGAGCCATTCCATCGAATGTTCGGGAGGAGGCCATTGCGATGGGCGATGTGCACACCGTGGGTTTGCTTTGCAAGTTGTTTGCCACCTACCAGCCAGGCAACAGGCAGGAGAAGAACCTGGTGCTGACAAACTTGGAGCATCCTGATGGATGCACAACTGCCTTGGAAGCGGTGGATGCCCTTCGAAAATGGGCTTTGTGGCGGCGCCGTGCTGCTGCCATAGGCATTGCTGAGCCGGATGCGTCGGTCCTGTTGCAGGGGCTGGACAAGATCACTGCTCAGGTGGTGAAGGGCGATGCCGAGCTCTCTTTCCGGGTTAGCTTGATCCGAAGCAACTTGCAGGTGGATGTGTGCCCGACTACCACATCAATAACTTCGTTCTTCCAGCACCTGCAGGCCGAGATGGAACAGCAAGCGAGGATTGGGGCAGCCCAAAGGAACCCCGAGGCCACCAACCCTAAGCTTCGAGCCATGACGACTTCGGAGGCTACATCCTCGAATGCACCGTACAATCAGCCCACTCCCAAGAACACCTTGTGCAAGTTCTTCACTGGAGAAAAGGGGTGTCGGAGGGGAAACACATGCAAGTTCCCTCACACGTGGTCAGCCTTGGAGAAGTCCGAAAGATCAAGGAGGTGTTTGGCATGTGGAGCTATTGGTCACAAGGTGAAAGATTGCAAGGCTCCTGGAGGCGGTGCGTTCAAGGGTGGAAAGAAGGGGGAAGGGAAAGGGGACAATCGAGATGATTCCTCTTCGACTACATCTTCGCCTACCAGAAGGGTGGACTTCAAGGAGGTTCCAGAGGTTGTGATGAAGATGATGAAAGTGCTTCGGGAGGTGGCGGATTCCCCGTACTTGAGGCCTTTGATGGCGGCGGTGATGGGAACGAAGGTAGGTGGCGGCAATGAGTCACCTCGGTCAAAGATGGCGCTTATGGATTCGGGTGCCACCCATGCACTACGTCCTCCTCGTGATGACAATGAATGGCATCGATCGGAAAATGTCAATGTCCTCCTGGCGGGCGACTCTGCTACAATGATGAAGCAGAACTCCAGCGGGACACTTCTGTGCAAAGAGGAGGTGTCGCAGATGATCGTGCCATTGGGAAAGGTGATCGACACCTTGGGTTATCGTCTCCACTGGACGCCGGAAAGGTGTGAGCTTCATGGTGAAGAAGGTGACGTCCTACCTCTTCGAGTACGCAATGGATGCCCTGAATTGGAGGAGACCACAGCCCAGGCCCTGATTGATTTGCTGGAACAGAAAAATCTGCCCGGTCTTGAGCAGGCCACTCTGGAGTCAATGCGGGTGCTTCAGAGCGCTGAGGGCACCTGGTGGTCCTACTTGCTGGATTATGTTACCAGTGCGGAGGTTACTGTCGGAAGGGAGGCGGTGCTTCGTGCCTCGTTCCTGAAACACAAGGACTTCTTGATGGAGGAGATGATCTTGCGACAGCCCAAAGAGGGGATCTGGGAGCTCATGAAGAAGCTGAAGCTCAATAGGAGGTCGAGGAAAAGACTTATGAGAGCGGCTACTTGGGTCATTCGATGGGATCCACCGGGATACGAAAGGCGAGCTGATGGTTTGCTGCAGTTGGGGCGGTTGACTGACACCGTCTATGTGAACTTGGGTGCTTGGTTCCAACATAGCGACTTTCGAGAGGCATGGGAGGTGCTGCTATGGGGCGCTATGCAAGGTCGTGTTGGAGCGGTCTTGTCAAAGGACCTGGCAGCCACGCCTACGGAGTTCGAGGCTTATGAGCGTCATCGCAGCCAAGTCCATCTGCTCCATGCCTTGTCGACAGCAAGGCACTACTTCAAGGGAAGCATGGTCCCGAAGTTCCTGGTGGAGAGGAGGAGATTTACCACAGCGGAGAAGCCCGGCATCATGTGGATTGATGATGGATGTGCAAAGGCATATCTGGATGAAGTGGGCATCCTGGATCCTATGGTCCAAGAAGATCAGAGTGTGGAAATCGTCGCCGGGATCATGGGCATCGTTCGTGGTGATGGTACTGGGCGTCTGAGGCTTGCCATGCTTTCGACAGATGCAGCCTGGCGGTTGCATGTTATGAGGAACCACCAGCCCTTTAGGAGGGATTGTGCTGTATGCGTGAGAAACGCAGCGACTGGCCGGAGGCACAAATCCACCCTACATCCCTCAGGATATGTCTTGAGCGTGGATGTTGCTGGGCCGTTGAAAGGGCATGGCAGATCACCAGATGGAAAGTTCTTCAAATACTTTGTGGTTGGGGCGTTCCGAATTCCGAAAGAAGATGGACCTGTGCATGAAGCAGTACGAGGTCACCCAATCCCTCCGGACCTTGAAGACGAGGAGGAGCTCTCGGAGGATGAAGTGGAGGAAGCGCCGGAAGAGGAGGAGTCAGAAATGCCTACACCGGAACAGGTTCGAAAGGACCAGGAGGAGTGGAAGAAGCTCAAGGCAAGTTTCAAAGAACCCTTGGAGACCGAGACCCTCTACTTCTGCGTGCCTGTACGAAACAAAAAGGCAGCTTCGACATTGCCAGCGATTCAGCAAATGGTAGTGGACATAAAGGCGCTCGGATACCCGATTGTTCGTATACATGCCGATAGAGGAGGTGAACTTCGTGGAAACCTGGTTCGGCATTGGGTGCTTTCGCAAGGGATGCTGCCTACAACTTCCACTGGTTCGGAGCCGGCGGAGAATGGAGTGGCCGAAGCTGGAGTGAAGTACCTGAAGCGGAAGGCCAGGATCCTACTTGATGCAGCTCGTCTCGGAAGAGAACATTGGCCTACTGCCATCCAAACAGCTGCAGTGCAGCAGCGATGTGAAAAGCTGGGGATTATGCAACCGATGGTGGTGGCTTATGGGGCGAAAGTGTACGTGAAGATCAAGAAGTACAAGACTGGTGATGTGGAAGATTTGGGTCCTCATTGGCTACAAGGAAAATACTTGGGACCGTCGACGGATGTTCGGGGAGGCCATGTGATCTTGAAGAGCACCGGAACCTTCATTCAGACGACACATGTGCGAGTGGCTAGAGAGCCACCTTCCTTGGACGAGGTGGCCCCCACAATCGTTGTCGAGCCAGAGGATAAGTGTGAAGCGCCCAAGGTCCCTGAGCCGGTGGTCGTCCCCGAGGAACCACCACTACCACCTCCACCAAAAGGACCTCCAGTCTCGTACGCTCCGCCTATGTACCGAACGAAGGGGAAAACTGCAGGTGTGGAACTACGCATGATGCAAGTGCACGACAAGGAGTTTACGACCTTTGCCAATTCTATGGATGATCGTGATGAACTACAAGCACGAATTTCCTTGCAGGCCCCGTTGAGTTCGATGAATCCGAGTGTGAAAACGATTCGTGCTGCAGATGCTGAAGCAGTGGAAAAGGTGTCAAAGGAGTTGGTGGAAGAAGGGTCCTACACAGCTGCAGCATGTCGGATTGTTTTGCAGGCGATGGACGACTTCAAGGGCAACCTTCGTGCTCCTCGCTCAACAACTGGTGCAGGAATGATACTGGGTGCCTATGTCCAAGGAGGGGCTTATGGCATCACTATGAATGGAAGATGTTTGCCCTACACCACCTACTTCCTCAACCACTACATGAAGAAGCGGATCGTCGAGACCATGCCGGGAACCGATCCGACTTGGGCAGCGCTGGCGCTGCATCGCTTGAACGAAGCCCCGGTCCACAAGGACAAGCACAACCAGAAAGGGTCGATGAACTATGTCATGGAACTAGATGAGACCCCGAGTGCTGGTCTATGGGTGGAAGGCGATGTTGAGTCGCATCCACATCGAGGAGGCGGAGAAGTGATTCCACATCTACATGAACGACCCGATGGTGGTACTGAGCTGGAAAGGATTGTCGACATCAAGAACCGGCCAGTGGAATTCTCGCCTCGCTCAAAACATGCTTATGTTCGTGATGAAGGACCTCGATGGGTTCTATCCGCTTACACCCCAGCCGGGATTTCAAGGTTGGCCCGCCCGGATGTCGCCTACTTGAAGCACTGTGGTTTTCCTGTCGATGGAATGGGTTTACTTGACGGCGGTCTTGATGAACTTTGCTTTGTGAAGCAGATTGGCCTGGCACGGGAAACCACACCCGTGTTGGAGGCGTCCTCTTCGAGTCCGGAGTGCGTTTCTTGGAGTCGAGCTCAAGAAGCAGGGGATGTGCAGGAGGATGTCGAGGCTATGTGTGATGGTGCAGAATATGTGGGCGAATGGGAAGTGTATATGTGGGCGAATGGGAAGTGTATGCGGATGATGAGAGAAACATCCATGACCCTGAGCACAGGGAACAGGAGGAGCACCGGCTGCTTCTTGTGGGAAGCTCTGAAGAACCTGGAAGGGAGCTTCCATACCTCCAGCGAATATATGGAGGACATGTGGATCAGGAGGTGGACTACGTGGAGGTGCAGGATGCTATGGCCGAGAATATGGAGGAATGGTCTGCTGGGGAAGCGTTCCCGAGATTGGCAAAGCTGGAGCCCGAGTACACGAAGGACATCGAGAAGCTTATTGCAGGCCTAAGGGAACCTTTGCGACACACCCACAACGTGAGTCCTGCCGATGTTCGGCAGAACGTTCCAAAATGGAAGAAATCCATCAAGAAGGAGATTGGTGTGGTGGACAAGGGTTTCCGTCGCATTACCAC